GCTTTTTTTTTTTTTTTTTGGTAGAAGGATCAAACTCCCGACCTTGAGCCTGTGAGGCAGGCAGCAACACCACTAAGCTAAATCCCCGGCCCTCCCAGCCTCTTTTTAAAACTCTTATTTTGAGAAATGATCTTGCTGAGTTGCCCAGGCTAGACTTGAATTCGTGATTCTCCAACCTCAGACTTCCAGAATGCTGGGCTTATAGACATGTGATGTGCCACTATGGCTAGCACTGTGTCAATTTTATGCAGTAAAATATATTTTAAAATTCTCAAGTACCAATGTACAGTGGCCAGCCATTCATTTTTCTAAGTGAGAATGTTCAAATAAAGAAAGAATGACTACCATATGACATCACCTTTAAGAAGAACATTTTAACACTCCCTCTCCACAAAAGACACTCTTTACATGGGAAAAACATTATTACAAAAAATTAAGAAACTGAATTTATGTTCTTTATTTTATGGTAACAATAAAAATTGTTAGACCACTTGTCTTAGGCAGTTGGAGCCATCCTTATGGATCAGTTGGGGGACTTTTTGGAGGAGTGGAGAGAGAAGTGAAGAGTTTATATTCCAGTTGCATAATGCATATGCTCAGCTTGGAATAAAATGTGTAAACACTTCAGTGAGGAAGTCAGGATCCCTGCATCTTGCTGAAACTTGTGAAAAACACACAAAACCAGACACAGGTGACAGTGGTAAGAACTGGTTCAAACTTTTCAAAATCCAAAACTTGGAGGATCTGCCAAAGTCTGCATGGAGGACCAAATTCCCTGCTGGGCCAGGGCCTTCCCTGGGCATGGGGAAAGGTCTTGCTCATCTCTGTGCTGCTGCTCCCAGTCTGCCTGAGGGAGGTGCTTACTAATGTAGTAGGAGTTATTAGCAAATGAGGCAGGACCAGGACTGAGTAGGTTGGAGTTAGGCACAGGACGTAGCTGGCAGGCTGGGGTCCTGAGGTTTCTAGAGAATGAGGGAAAGATCTTAGTGATAAGGCCAAGGATGAGCCGTCCTTGGAGCTAAGGTGTAGAGGGTGGAAGCTAGTCTATTTTCTATATTTTCTTCTCTCACTCATGCTGGCAGAGAGGTGTGTCCGCTCAGGCCTTCCCTTGCTTCTCCCCTGCTGAACGAATGCCAAGGCCAAGACCTGTCCTGGGCACATCTGCCTTCTCCAGGGTTCATGAGACCAGCTTTGACTGCTGGGAGGGCCCTAGCTGGCTGTATCTCTGGTGGTGGTGGTGGTGACAAGGGCCCAGCAGGTGGTCAGGCAGAGGGTAAGTCTGCTTGGGCACAAGAATGGTAGCCAGGCAATAGATCCTAATCCTTCATGGTAGATTAGGCAAAGTGGTCTGGTTACAATGATCTGCTTACCTGGGGGCTTAGGGAAAATACTCTGACTTTAGGGTCCAGCCTGCAGTTGGACTCCTATAGTGAAAGCTGCCATTTGCCCATCTCTGCTGACTAAGTGGGCTGGCCCTTGGGTATGCTTGGTGGACGCAGCGCCCAGCCTACCCATCTTTGTGATCTGGTCAGCAATTCCCCTTCCTCAAATGCTTCCTGACTTTCTCTATTCCCTGAGCAGCCTGGGTTAGGGGCTCTGGCAGATATAGCACTCACCCTGTGGACTGTGTGTCCTGTTTTCTGTGTACTAGAGACACAATCACAAACCTCAGCTAGAGTGCACTAAGATTGATCATTGAATGGATACATGAGCTGCTTCCCTCATCATCTAAAATTTACTGTGTGGAGTTACCAGGGTGGCCGAGTGGTTAAGACACTGGACTTAAGATCCAATAAAACTTACTGTGTGGGCTTTGGAGAGGTAAGGGGATCTGGGTTTCTACCACCAGGCCGGAGTGAGATGTGTAGTTTCCCAGCACAGGGCTCCCAAGAACATATTTGGTGGCTAACTTGAAGCAGTGAATCTCTTTTATTTCATCATCAGCTCCAGGACAAGGCTCAGAGAAGAGCCATACTAGCCCTGTTGGGAGTCAGTGGGAGTACAGACAGCCCATTCCTTGTGTTTAGTCAAACAGACCTGGATTTGAATCCTAGCTCCTCTCTCTGTCAGCTGTGTGACCTTAACCAAATCTGCTTCAGAGGCATTATCTGTAAAACAGGAATCATAATCACATTTGCCACATAGGATTGTTGTGAAGCTTATGTGAGATTACAATGCAAGGCCTTGTGCCTTGTGTGTTGTCAGAACTCATTGGTCAAGACCTTCCATCATGGGAAGATACTGATTGTGTTAATGTTAGGAATGTGCTAGGAGCTAAAGGTACAAGGAGATGTAAGAACAACCACTGCTCTCCAAGGGGCAGGCCGTATGAGTTGGGACAGTGAGACCCACATGGAAAGCCCATTGCATGGATGGTGGTACCTTGGAGATGGCCAGTGGGTGGTATGCACAGTAAGAGATTTCCCTTGTCACAGAGAGAGAGAGCAGTTGATAAGTGAAAGTTCTCAGGGGAAGTAGCTTTGAAGGAAGGATAGCACTTAGGTAAGTAGTGGACAGGAGAGGTAAAATGTTTTAGGGAGGGGACACAGCACATGGGAAGGTAGAAAGAAGAAAGAGCAGAGGTCACTTTTGGGGAAAAGGCCAGTTCAGCCAAAGCAGGCTGACTTAGAAAGTTGTTAGGGGTTGGATTCAGGAGCATGTTCAGTGCTGATATTCCTCCAGTGCTAGAACTATAGACTTGGATCCTGAAGCTACACAGGGAGCCACTGAGGATCTCTGAGAGGAAGGTGACATGGGCCAGGTGAAATGTGAAGTGATCTGACCTACTCAGCCTCTGGTTTGAATTCTAGTACTTCTCCCAGAAAAGAGAGTTCAGCCAACCAAAACCCAGATGAAACCCAGTCTGGCTAAGGGTGCCTGGTATTTTCACGAATAAACTTCCAATAACAGGTGGTAAAATTGGTGTATTTGCTCCAGGATGCTTTCCTCATGCCGTTGAATGACCTTGTCTGTTCCTCTCTTCCCCACCAGACCCCAGCCTCCCTAATTCCCTGAGCCTCCAAGGCTTTGTTTTGCTTAGCCTTCTGCCTGGGAGTCTGTCTGGACATTCCCAGTCTACCCTACTTATACCACTCCCATCTCACTCTTCAGAGAGGGCCCTGATCACCCCATATGAATGGACCTGGAACACTGTCACCTAGTTAATTGTCTTCATAGCCTTTGTTATTGCATGACACTGCAACATATTATTTTCTGGTTTCCTTTTGATCTCCCTTGCTGGGCTACAAGCCCCATGTGGGTGGACATTGTCCTCACTCCCTAGATCTCAGGAGTGTTCAACAATTATTTCCTGAGTGTATCAATAGCAGGTGGGGGAGACAATGGGTTTAGAGGGCCCAGGATGAGCCAGACCGCAGAGGTCCTATGAGGAGGACTGGCAGGGCTCTGCATTCCATTGTAGGCCTGTGCATGTAACTCTTCCTTGGCCACTGATCACTGGGTGTGGCTCTGGACTCTGGAAGGTGGTGAAGGGCAGTAAAGAGAAAAGTCACAGTCTGGAGGTCTGGAAGCTGATGTGCAGCGTTGGCTTGGGGGGAAGGGCCCAGTTTTAGCACCATTTTGTTCCCCAGGGCCAGGAGGTAGAATCATCCGACCGGAGTTCCACCTTGTTGGGATGGGTAGGGGATTGAGAGAAGGTGCTTTCAGAAGCAGAAAGCAAGGAAAGACTGTCATGCTGAAAGTGACTTTGGGAGGCCCTTAGCCTACCCTTCATGATTCAAGAGGAAACTGAGGCTGAAGTCAGGGTCATATAAGTTATGAATAACAGAAAAACCCAACAACTCAAACCTGACTTTCAGGCTAATGTTGAACCCTTTTCTACAAGACATTCATTCATTGGTTCATTATTTATTGAGAATCTACTCTCTGACAGTCTGTTTTCTAAGTGCTGGGGCTACCAGAGGGCACAAAATTAAGTGTCTTTCATGGATTTTCCAGCCCCTAGGAGTGGACATTTAAGTATAAATATGAGGGCAGACAGTTCACTTCCCCTTCAGGTATTCTGCTGCAAGTGCTGTGTGAGCCCACAGCTCTGATTATTCTATCTTTTACTTATGCAAAATCATAGCCAAACTTATCCCTGAGGCCTGTGGATGTTGGAGAGAGAGAGAAATGGGCCTAGGAGAATCTTCTGAGGCCAGGACTTTGGCTTCCTTCTTGAGGGAGGGGCCAGAAAGCACTCAGTCCTCTCCCAGGGGCAGGAAGCCCTTCTGATGAGAGGGTGTCTGGTAGCCCACGGCCTCAGGGTGCCTGACCCAGCTGTCACACTCTCTCTCTGTCTCCTCAGCCGTGTGCCAGCCACCCTGCCAGAATCGAGGCTCCTGCAGCCGACCCCAGCTCTGCGTCTGCCGCTCTGGCTTCCGAGGGGCTCGCTGTGAGGAGGTCATTCCTGAGGAGGAATTTGACCCCCAGAGCTCCAGGCTGGCCCCCCCGTACTCGGCTGAGAGGGCACCTAACCTCCGCAGGAGCAGCATGACCAGAGAAGGCCCTGTGGCCAGAACACAGCCACTGGCGCCACAGCCATCACCAGCCAGGTGAGTCCTTCAGTGGGATCCCGGGATCCAGGGCTCCATCTTCGTCAGGAGGGGCTTCCTCTTCAGCACTGTGGAGAAGACAGGCATTGTCTTTCCTTCTGTCTTCCCCACTGTCTTCCCCTCCCCTCCTCCTTCAGGGCTATGGGACAGGGGAGCAGGGGTTGGGGTAGGCAGGGCCTCTGCCAGGCTGGATGCAGATTGCATGTGGGAGTGAAGCCTTTCTCCCCCAGTGGCCTAGAAGAAAACTAAGTGTGGGGGGGGGGCTGTGTTCCTGCCTCAGGGCCTCTTGGTTTCAGTCCTGGCTTTGCCACTTCCTAGGTAGATGACATGGGCAAGTTACTTACCTCTCTGTGTCTCTGATTGCTCATCAGTGAGAAGGGGACACCACTAGTACCTACATCATGGAATTGTAAGGATAGGTTAGTTAATATAAGAAAAGTGCTTAGAACAGGGCTTGGCGCACATGTAAGCTCTTTATAAATGCTCTTCCTCCTCCTCCTCCTCTCCTCCTGTAAATATGAGGGCAGGCAGTTGGAAGGACCCCTCCTGAGAGTCCCCTCTGTCCGCTCATCACCCAGTCCCTCTCCTTGGAGAGGAAGAAAAGAGATATATGGGGGAAGGGAGCAGAATAAAAGTGGACAAGGGAGCTTTCATGGGCAGGAGTCCCTGGCCTGTTTGCCAGCCAATCTGGCTAGACTTTTTTTTAGTCCAGGACAGGAAATCTGAACTTTATAAACTGGTCCATTTCTAGGCAGTGTGTTTTGCTTTGGGGTTTGCATGTTAGTTTTTCCATTTACTTCTATTTAGGAAGTTCTTCCTGAAATGTTGCAACCTTGTCTTGCTGAACTGAAGGGAAAAAGGATTTGCCCTCTCCAAAGACAAGCGAACTGGAGAGAAAACTGATCTTTAGGACATGTCCTTAGCAAGAAAGACCAGGAGAGACACTGAGGTGGAGGGAGAGAAAGGAGAGGAGGGGGAGTTGTCTAGCAGTTCTGAAAGAGTGGGGCAGGGAGACCGGGGTCCTGGTAAGATGGGGATCCAATATCCTGAGCGCCAAGCAGGGCAGCTAGGAGCAGAAAGTAAGGAAGAAGGGACTCAGATCAAGGCCTAAGGAGCTCCAAGATCAAAGCCAGAAGAGCCCAGCCCTGTGGCTGAGGCCTGAAGATGCTGGGGGGCAAAAACAGAGAGCAGAGCCAGTGGACAGAGGTAGGTGGGACTGCGGTAATAGCTATTCAGGGGCAGGGTGGGTACACAGTCCTTCCAGTTGGGCTTTCCCTCTGCAAGTCTCTTTTGGCTGTGGGATTTGCTCATTCTATATAATAACATTGATCCTGTGGGTGTTCATGTTGCTTGGCAACTCATTCTGACCCTTGCACCCAAGTCAGAACCATTTGATACCCCTACCCAATATTCCAGCTCATCCCACGCCTCCTTTTTCTGCAAGGCCCAGTTTGCTTCCCACAAAAAGCCTCCCCTGATTCTGTCCACTCTGCTCTCAGGCCCCTGCAGCACTTTCTTACTGGTGTGCATTGCCCTGGGTCTGCCCTGAATGTGCTCCTGGGCTTCACGGGCTGTGCCCTGGATGGCAGTGACTCCCTAGCTCCTTCCACAGTGCCTGGCTCACAGAAGGTGCTCAGTTCATATTTTCTCTCTGATACCCACTGTAAACTTCACAGTTAGCCTGACAACAGGGCCTGATTGGCATTGAATGCTCACCCTGTACCTGGAACCAAGGGTGCTGCCCTGTGTGCTGCTGAGAGGACTGGAGAAGGTGAGCCCTGCTGATTCGCAGACAGGCACTCCATGCTCCCTTCAAGAACCACTTTTCACTGTGCCTTTGAGTGGCCTGTTCATTTGCTCCCTGGACCAGGAGTTCTCTGAAGCAAGGACAGTGCCCTGCTTGTTCATGTATGCATCTAACACAGTCCTGGCACATGATAGGTGCCCAACCAGTATAAGCTGAATGGATAAATGATGGCTCCTGGTGAGGAGTGTGACTGTGAGCCTTCAATCCCCCAGGGATTGCAAGAAACAGTGGAGGGCCAAGGTCCTGGGTGAGGTCTCTGGCCAGCAGCAAGGCTGTCCTCTGACTTTCACAGGCTTCCTGGCCAGAGGCTACTGTGATGTTCTTAATGAGCTGCGGCCTCCAGGCCAGCCCAGTCTGCCTCTGCCCTGGGGCCACCATGCCATGAAATCTGGGAAAGTCCAAGTGGCCTCTGTTGGCTGCTGTAGGGCCAGCTGTGTTTTGCTTTGGGAGGCCAAGTCCTGCGTGCCTGGCAGTGTCAGACATTTCCTGTGAGCTTGGCCAGATTTTCCAAGCAGCCACTCTTTCCTGATAGCAACTCGGACAGGCTTCGAGTGTCCAGACACCAGGGTGACATGATGTAGTGGGCATGTTAGGAATGGGAAGGGGGTATGAGATGTCTGGAGAGGCGAGACTCTGAGGAGACCGGTGATGGCCAGAGGCCTCCTTCAGAGAAGCCCTGGGCAGAGGCCAAGAGCCGTGTCCCAGAGGCAGACAAGAGGGAGCGGCCTGAAAAGTCTTGGGCATCAGGCAGGACATCCTTCTCTGGACCAACAGCGAGGCAGCTGGGCAAGAGTCTTGAGAGATCATGACAGGACTGCTTACAGGAATCATGGACCAGCAGGCTACAGAAAACTGTGAAGTTCACAAGTGTGCAGGAATCTCCAAGGAAGTTGTCAACCTGTAGCTTCTGGTCCAGCAGGTCCAGGATGAGCATCCTTAACATGGGAGAGGCTGATGCTGCTGGTCCATGGACCACATATTCAGTACCACGGGCTAGAGCCTGGGCTTTGGATTCAGATTATCCCAAGTTTCCATTCTAGATTTATCACTCATCAGCTGTGTGGCATTAGGCACACATTTTAACCTCTCTGAGCCAATAGCCTCTACCTGATGGGATTACAAGGAGGATTAAATAAGCTCATGTGAGTAGAACTTTTTGTAAGCTTTGGTAGCCATTGGCATGTAGGCTCTATTTTCCATGAGGACTTGGGTGGAGTGGGGAATGAGAATAAACACTCATGCATAAGTGCGCAACTGTTCTGGGGAGAAGCCAGGGTCCAGACCCCAGCCTCAGCGGAGTCATGACTAGCAGGTGCAATAGCAGCATCAGTAGTGGCTTAACTGTCTTGGGGTATGGTCACTCTGCCAGGACTGTGTCACCAGCTCCTGGGAGGTGGCCGAGGGGAGGTGTCAAGAATGTGAGGGCCCTCTACTGGGTCTACTTCTCAGCCAAACCTGGTGTCCTTGAGGCTGAGCCCTGGGGACATCCTAGGCAGGTATGGCCAATATACCGGCAGCAGTAACCCATAGGATGTGCTGAGCAGGGCAACTGGCATGGTTAGGGGTGTCTGGGGACTGATGACCCAGAGTAGAGGCTCCTGGAAGGCTGTCCCCAAAGAAGCAGCTAGGATCTGCCTTCTCTTCATTGTCTAGTATGTCCTTTTCTGCACACCCACTTCTGAACATTTCCATTATATTCGATATCTTTGGCTGCCAGAAAAAATGATTGCAGAATTAGCAGTTTCAAACAACACATGTTCGTTAGTGTGCAGTTCTATAGGTCAGACAGCTGACCTAGATCTCAGCAGGCTGAAATCAAGATGCCTGTGGGCTGGAAACTATAGGTGATAATTCATGTCTGTGCTCATTCAGGTGGTTGGCAGATTTCAATTCCTTACAGTTGCAGGACTGAGGTCTGTTTACTTGCTGGCTGTCACTTGAGGTCTGTTCCTATCATCTAGAAGCCATGTGTATGCCTTGGTCTGTGGTTACCTCCCTCATTTTATTTTACCTCCCTCATTTTTGAAGCTGCCAAGAGCAGGTGTGCTTTTCAGATATGCACCTTCCTTCTGCCTGGATCTTTGGCTGTGTCTCATTCATTCTTCTGCCTCCCTCTTCTGCATTGAAAAGCTCTTATGGATGACATTGGGCCCACTTTGAGAATCCAGGGCAATCTCCTTTTTTTAAGGTCATCTTGACTAGCAATGCGTGTGTGTGTGCGCGTATGTGTTTTACTGGGAATTGAACCCAGGGTCTTCTCTCTGAGAGGCTAGGCTTGACCTTGCAGCCCTCCTACCTCAGCCCTCTAGATTGCTGGGATTACAGGTGTAATTATTGGCAATCCTAACTGCACCTGTATTAGAACAAAGCCTTTTGCCATTTCATATAACATCTTCAATAATGAAACTAACAGCAAGAGATGGAGATCTTGAGGGAACAACCATACCCACTCTCTTCAACCCACACCAGCCGGGACCCTCTGTCCAAAGTGCGACAGTTCCCTTTTACCAAAGGCTTGCCACAAGGGTCTCCAAATATGGCCCCAAACCTTCCTGATGCCTCCAGCTTTAGCCCTCACCACTTGCTCCCTCCATTCACTTCCTTCTCCACACCTGCCAGCTGGTTTTTCCTCAAACATGCTATGGATGCTCCCACCTTAGGGCCTTTGGACTTATTATTCTGCCCTCTCTGGACCACTGTAATAGTTTCCCAGGTCTTCTCTAACAAATTACCATGTTCTGGGTGGTTTAAAACAACAAATACCATGTTTCCTCAAAAATAAAACCTAACTGGAAAATAAGTCCTAGTTGGTCATTACCATGGTGATGGCCAGTGTCATGCAGAAGCTTCTATCTCACTCTTCTCTTGGTTATTCTGCAAGGCAGGTAAGGCAGGATACACTGATGGGGGCTGGCATTTTTGATCTCTAGTTTTCAAGGTTGATTATTTTCCAGTTAGTTCTCATTTGGGGGGAAACATGATGCTTATTCTTGCATATTTCTGGAGGCCAGAAGTCCAAAATCAAGATATTGGGAAAGCTGGAGTCTCTGTGGGAGAAACTTCTGCCCTTCTGCTAGCATGTGGTAATTCCCAGACATCCTTGGTATTTGCTGGCTTGTACCTGCACTGCCCTAATCTCGGTCTCTGTCATCACATGGTCTCTGTTATTACATATGTGCATCTCTGTGTCATT